GATAATTTGATCAAATTAGTCATTCCGCATCTTTATTTATGATCGTCAAAATCTCTGATGTAATAGGACATTTCACGATGGAGGTTACACAGTCAATGCATTTTCTAGTTTGTAGAACGGCAAAAAAAAACCTAACATCAATTAAAAAATTTTGTAAACACAGGCCCCTATTACCACTCTTTCACAAGTAAAGTGCCCGTTTGCGAATACCTTACCGAGGTTTGTTTTATCTTATACCTTCCCTAAAGGACAATACTTACGTCTTGGTCTTCGTCCTATGAGCTTATTATACCAGACTACCAACTAAGGTGGATTCATCTCGTATCTTATACCAATCGATTATCCGAATTGCAGGACATGTCCGCAATTCCTGTTAGCTTTGTCGATATTGGCAAATCTGCCAATGATCTTTTGGGCAAGGACTACCCTAATGCTATTAAACTGGACGCGAAGACCACTGCTCCAAATGGAGTGGTATGTAGCATTTATCCTCCTCCTCTCACCCCTGGTTTTGCACCTGTCGACGGCCTCGCTGTATGTTATATGACAATCGTTTTCATATTTGATGTAGTCCTTTACCGTTTCTGGAACCAGAGATGCGAAGGCAGGAAACATTCAAGGAGAACTCAAGACAAAATATGCGTATCCAAAGAGCGGTGTGACGTTTACGGGAGGCTGGTCAAGCTTTAATCGGATGAGTGGCCAACTCGAGCTAGAAAATAATGTGGCCAAAGGCTTGAAGTTGGACATTTCCGCAGCTCTTCACCCAAGCTCCGGTCAAAAGACTGCTAAGACGGGTGTCATATTTAAGCAGCCAGGGTTTCACACAAAGATATACCTCGATCTTTTCAAGGGTCCTACATTTATAGGAGAAGCAGTAATTGGCCATGAAGGTTTCCTTATTGGCAGTGAGGCTACGTACAACGTGATGAGCGGGGAGATAGTTGGTTACGGCATTGCGGCTGGATTTGTTGCGCCTGAATATAATATCAGCGTTCGCGCATCTAACTCATTAAGTGCATACACCGCGGCTGTTTACCACCGCGTTCATTCGGACGTTGAGGCTGGAGCGAAAGCACATTGGGATACCACAGCCAATCAAAACAATAACGTTAATATTGAAATCGGGGCTAAATACACGATCGATAAAGAGGCATTCATCAAAGTTTGTACAGTTTTGGTTTAGTTTTTTCGCTCATCTTGTTTTCTCATTTTTCATTATTTATTTCTTGATAGTTGATCGATCTGACGATTCCTTCTTTTATTGTTATACGTATAGACTAAAATCGACAATGCTGGCCGTCTTGGTCTTGGCTACACACAGACACTTCGCCGAGGGGTTAAAATTTCACTTGGTGCTAGCATTGACACATCTCGCCTTAACGAAAACACGCATCGCTTTGGGCTTGCGCTCAATCTAGAGTCTTAATATACAGCTGTGTTAATATTACTAAATGTAGTCGACACTTTGTGTTGAACTGATTGTAATTACTTGCATGTCAAATGTATTGTAAGCGTGAAATAAAATATTGCTCTATATTTTCTCACTTACAACGTACGATTAGAATTTTACTGCCAACAAATTGACCCAGATATTATGCACGTCGTACGAAATGACAATAATTTCTTCTAATATCTACACAATTTCAGTACAGTCCTCCAGATTCAGATAAAAAGACATGGGAGAGTTGTATCAACTAAAATTGAAAATTTGTCTAGCTGTAACTCACTTTGACTATGTTTTATACTACATTTCAAGAATCAAGTGCCTCTACCGCTGCATCGACTTTTTCTTGATGTAATAATGATGCATTGGGGTGATCAATATTTTGACCATATGGCAAGTGAACATTTGATCACATGAACTAAAAACGGTTGTCTCTCATGTCAGCAGTCTGCCTCATATAACCAAATTGATAGGACATGGCTTACTTCTGGACCTTCATCACGTCTAACAATATAGCCGATATCTTATCTTTTCACCACAATATTTCAACAGTAATTTATGAGCTATTATGGTGGTTGGCGTGTTCTAGAACAAAATCACATTTCTACCAGGACTTGGTAGTCCATGGATTTCAGCATAAATTTTTCACGGCAGTAGCAACTGTTATGTCAACGGTTATTTTGGTTTTTCCATCGCGGCATTCGTTTGATATTACCATGAATGTGAAACTTTATTCTGACAGTCTTCAGCATTATTATTATGATATTTACTACTATTGCGTGCACACTTCTGTTTTAAACCACTCATCTTTCAATAATTTGCGAATTCCTGATTCGTTAAACGTTCTTTGATTCTACCTGCAGTTGAAAGCTCAAACATAAATTCATCAAACAATTTCCCAACCAAGTAAAGGTCACATTTTTTGCTGTATTAGTATCATTGGAAGGCCAATTATACAATTGAAACGTGGGTACTTCCCCGAGACGTCCTGAGTGTTCATAATCTGTTAAACGCCAAGTTCCGTTGTGTCTTAGGATGTTATCCCAACGGATATCACGGTGTACAATACCTTTACAATTAAACAATGACAGTTTAATATGAATTAAATACAAAACAAATAAGAACAATAAACCATTATAACATTGCTCCTACTCTACTCTACCTAACCCAAACATATCATATCTTGCTTATAAATCCACTTGAGCTAGATATGCAACATTTCCACTTCACAACCAATACTACCCTAATACTAATATGTGTAGGAGACCAAGCATATAATAATAATGCATGCAACAACAAGCATTCGAACTATTCTCTGCTGCTCTCTTTATATTACCATATCTGTCTATCCTATGTACACTACTCTATGTCCCCAATGTAAATGCCCAAGTCACAAAGTCATTACATGATGAAACACCTGCCTGTGCTTCTATTAACTGTCTAACTGTCACACCCCAGTCCTTAATTTCCTCTCTTCACAACTTCTTATCATTCTCATTAGTGGTCAAGCTGCTTTTGGGCGTTTTCCAGATCACTGGATTCCACCATGAGAAAATTCTTTTTGCACCATTACATTCACTATTACAGGAAAACTTTATGAATCAATCATGGGTTGATGCATCAGGCTAACAGGATATTAATAAAAACAATTGAACAGAAGTAGCTGCTCCTTCCACTAAATATAAAGCAATGGTTCCGGGGCATTATCTATACCAGGATTGAGTTGAACAGGATTGTCGTGAGCAAAGACATCCTCTCTTGTGTTGCGAATAACATCTCTTAGGGTATTGACTGTCTTGTTGCTGGCTATTTTGATCTGAAACACCTTTGCCATAGACCAGACATTGTAGCGTTACTTGCTTAGTTTTCTCAAACACCGACATTGATATAACAAAGGTAAAAATTCAGATATGTCAAGAAAGAATTTGATAACAGGAAAATTCAAAAACTGATAAAAAAAAGAAAAAGTGTCACTATTGTGACGAGCCAAATCTGATGAATTGGATAAAACAACGGTAGACGAGCATTTATAACAAGAGATAAAGCTGGTTATTGTAGCGCTGATGCTACCGCTCACTATCGTTACAAACTGTTCAGTTTCCCATTCCGATTAACGGGTAAGTAAATTTTATCATTATTATCATAGTCCACGTAAAGTGCATTTATTTGTATTCAAGCTGAAGCAGCACGCGACAAATTAATCATGTTCTCGATGAAGACGAAATTATCGGTAAATATACTAATGACATAATAAAGAAATGAGTAAAGGCGTAAAAAGTTAAAGGTTGTTTGTGATAATGCCGGTGGACAGAATAAAAACATACCGATTTTACCTGTATTTAATAATTTGCGGTTACTGCTCAAGCATTGAGCTTAATTTTATTGTACCGGGACATACTATAATGCCAGTTTGACTAAAAAATTACACCGCGCAAAACGAACAGTAAACATGTATTTCACTGTGCAATCTATACCAGTATAAGAAAAATACCCGAGTACACATGTCGGAAAATAATTTATACCAGATCTCGATTTAAGGGTCGTATTGCAAATCCAACGCCAACATCACTATTTGTCGATTTAACATGGTCAAAGTTCTCGTTCGAAGAGTTAAATTTCAAGGTCAATATATACATATTGTCATAGACAAAATAAAAACGAATCGATCAATTATTGTACAGAAATGTTTCTATTCTCGAGCGATTTCATTGTTGGAAAAAACGGTTAAACAAATCAACAAGCCAAAATAATATGCTGTCGGCTGCGCTGGAAGAAGAAATGGAATATACATGGAATGGTACACCTAGGCAGAGTTTGTGGCTGTTTGTAATGCAAAAACAATTAAAAAAAATCTTACTTTCTTGGCTGCTCAAACAGTCTAACCAGAGTTTATTGAGCACCTTAACTGCAGTATCAAACTGTATGACCCTCAAAACCAATTGAAACGACTTTTCTTGGTAATAGAATTAGATGATTGACAGAAGGCATTACCGTGATGAGGAATGTTACAAGTCAAAAAGAGTCGAAATTTACCAGTTTTGAAAGTATTTTAAAACGATGAGCAATTTTTAAACGACCATTGTCTCTTATTACAAGCCGCAACTTAAAAGTTTATGAATCTTTTACTTTCTCGCCAAGTTGGATTAATAATATGAACTAGGTTTAATTCCGAATTTTTGATTTAATTAATTTAAGTTTCGTTAATTTGACTTGAACGAGGAAGGTTAATCCAATCAATGGTGAATAAAATATATGTATCACGACAAAGCTTGACTCCTGAAGTCTTAATTAACAATGTCGGTTGTACAATGAAATACGATTATTAATATTTCATATTCAGGACATGTCTCATTTCTTGTTTAATAACATTATATATTATATACAAATCTACATTGGAAACAGCACAGGTAATATGTCAATATTGAAGGCTATTTTGTGAATACTTTTTTTTTTAAAAAAAATAAAAACGGTTTGTTGTTATTATCTACGAAATATGTCTAAATAAATAATAGAATCTCAATGTCCATCAATCATTGGATAATTGGTCAAATATTCACCACCATCTGCTCGGAGAGACGTAAATATCGTCTGTCTGTTCGCTGCTCTTGTCCATTTGGATTTCACTGTCGATCAATGTCGTTGTTGACAACTTGTTCTTTTGCCATCGCTGTCTACCAAACAATTTCCTAAAAATCATTTGAGCAGTTGTTGATTGCGGATAAAAAAAGCCAACAGGACAACGGAATTCGATGGGCGTAATCAATCTTTTCCTGTCCGTTTTTGGTGACATTTCTTCTGTTGGAGCGCTTACAGAGTATGAAAATGTGTGCCACAAGGGCATATGCTTAGCGCCCTTTCCTCTTCGATAGACTTTATGTATCTGCTGGAATGTTCCAATTTGTTTAATCGAGAGTGAATGTGACTTTGGCAGTAAATTCTCTTTTAACGGACATGGTTCTTCGTTTTCGTTGATCTCTTGGATTAGGTTTATATTGCACAGATTAGGATTCCGCAAAACAGCCGAACTGTAGAATGTCAGTGATGTCTGACTTTGGGGTTTGAAGACTAAATTTTGGGTATCGGCATCAAAGTGGGAGAAGGACAATTCAACGTGGAATTGCCATTTGTACTCTTGGCTTAATAAAATTATTAATTTAATGTCTGACGAGTTGAATAATGAAAGGAGTTGAGTATATGATAAATCGTTAAATCGTCTGCATGTGTCAGAAAGAGCAAGAAGGGAAATTATATCAAGTGATTCGATAATTAGAAGAAGTATTTCGTTTGGGAGAGAACTGAGGGATGTGATTGACGAAATACTCGAATTTTTGTTGATCCGAGAAGATGTACATTTGAATAACATTCTATACGAGTTCAAAAGGTTCTATATAAACAGAAGAGATAATATGTGTTGAAATTTTTTCGAACTGGCGACTTTTTAAAAAAAGGTTTGGTTTTAGTTGTAAACTTTTTTCGTTGGAGCTGAGGGGATGGGTGTATTTATATGTGTTCAATTCATAACGATCCAATTAAGGAGATTAGCATTGATTTTCATTGTAAAACATAAATGAAGAATTTTATAATAACAGTGACAAACAAATAAAGTGTTTGGTTTACACATAAATAAATATACCAACCCAATGCAAATATCTTAACCATATAGAGAAAAACTGTGGAAGCATTATAAGCCGAGAGAGACATCCGCTCTTTGGCGCAGCCTCTCGTTGAACTACAACTTAATAGTTGTTATCAACAGCCATGTTGCTTTTGATAAAGACAGTTACGTGCTTTATAGTAGTCTTTGTTCTGACGAGTCTTTGAAATGAGGAATTCCTCGTTCCATATGATGTCACAATGATTGGAGGACAACAGTTTGCCTTGTTATACTTGAGAAAACTTGCAGGCTTTCTAAACCATAAACTTGATATTTTAAATTACATTTCACAGGCTTGAATTAGAGTTTTTCAATTGTTAGACTTGAATTTTTTACACCAGACCGAATGGTATGTCAAAGCCTAATTTATTTAACATAAATGGTATAGGTCTGTACCAACGGCCACTCGACTACACGCAAAGTTAACCCGGCATTATTCCTTATTAAACCGTCGGCGCTTATTTCCACGGTAAGAATATTTCATTAAACAGTTCATAGGTTCGCTGATACCAAATTGTTTAACAAGTTAATATGCATAACAATTGTATTTTCCAAATCCAATAAACTCTAATTTTAGCGTCAGCCTTATTAACAATGGGTCTGTATTTCGCATTACCGATAATTATCGAATGTTCGCATATAATAAACACGCAATGTAGTCAGACCACCATAATTATACGGTTTGTTCTTCAACTATATTATTTTTATGACGGTTACACTGCATATGATATAAAAAAACGCTTGTTTATATCGAATGCTTTATTGTCCTCGGCTATCCTATTCACTGCGCTGCGCTGGTAACACGACGCCTCCCAGTTTGATGATCTGGCACAATTACAATAACAACTTCCTTTTAAGTCAATTACTATCAAAAATAACCCCCCCCGTTCATCAAGAAGGGGTTTGGGTTATTACTCGAATGACTGTAATTTCTATTCGAATTCGAACAGTTTATCTGCTACAGTGAGAAATGTATTGTTTGGGTAACGTCAATAAGAACTTATTGTTTAAGACGATGGTGGATGAGAATATAAAGCCATCATTCGGTCATATATGTCCTTTGGAATGTTTGTTTTCATTCCATTTACTACCATCCTCACAAAGCGAAAAGGTTCGGACATCCCGCACATATTTTGAAACTCGTTCCGTGAAACAATACTTTGTGGGGGCAATACGGTAAAGTCAATTCAAGTGTGACAACAGGGCAAGTAAATGCCAGAGATAGTCATAAATGGAACTACTTTGTTCTAATCACCGTATGGATCTTAAAATAGCACTCGCAATTTGTGCTACCATAATATCGCTTTTTGAATTGAGCTTCTCTATCAACAGTATAGTATCTGTTAAGCATCATAAAGTAAATCATGTTAAGCATCATAAAGCAAAATATAAAATCTAATCTATTCAACACTATTACAATTCCAGTGCCATCACAAATGTCATTTCTAAAATAATTAGCGTATCAGATTTATCAGATACAATCCACCGAGAAGGGGTATAGTAAACAATTTTATTTTATCTTTTTACAAGTCTAGAAAAGAAAAAAGGAAATAAATACAACTAAAAGGGGTTTTAGTATCTTGGCCGTTTTCGTAAATTTTTGTTATTTCAAAACAAGTAAAGTTCGTTCATTAACGATATGAGTCAAATTGTTGGTGAGCTACTGCCTGATCTGCTTTATTGTTTTGTTTTTGTCTATCTGCATCCGGATATGCAAACCCGCCAGACAAAAGACTTTTTGACAAATAGCTGTTGATTATCAAATTAATAATTGCACGTATTTTAATTCCAAGAACGTTGGAAATTGTTGCTTATAAAGATCGGTAAACAACCAAATTTAAAGTTCTTTTTTAAGCAATTATTGTAGAAGTTTCCATCAAGACCCTGAACGATTCCTACAGGTGAGTCTGGTCATAACGCGCGTTACTCCAAATAGGAGGTCAGTGAACATGCTATGACTAAGTTGTAATGATCAAACAGATAAATCACACGCATCAGGCTTTCTTGTAACCCGGAACTAATAGGAATAGTAAAATAAAACGAAAAGCCCCCCAACCATAATGTATTTGGGTCGACCCGTTCATTGTTGCGGTGCCATCCGACTAATGCTGATGATTTAACCTGCCTCCTCCCTCGTCCTACATTTCCTAAGCAAATTTCAAAGGGTTACTAATGAGTTGCGCCAATAGATTTTGGCTTCTGTGATGACAATGAAAGATTTATAATTCATATTACTACAATTCTTACAAACCACAAAGAAGCAACAATTTTCTTACTCACATGTTATGCATTGCACATGTAAGTGTCCGAGTACCAATCAAACATGATCATCAGCCAACCAGCATATTAGAAGCTACGGTATTGTTTTGCGCAAGTGAATGCGCGCAATCCAAAGCGATGACTATTATAATGCTATATATGGGGGTTTCAGGTCAGATTTGAGATTGATCTGATCTGATTACAGAATTTGATATGACAACGACAATCAAATCTTTCAATATGACGCAATTTACACTCTGACATCCCATGGCAATGATATTCTTTCCTTATTTAGGGAAAGTCTTGCGCATTGTCGTGATTAATCTGATAAAGGGAAAGAATTATATCTTTTTGCGCTGTATTACAGATTACCAAGCATAAGAAAAGAGAATAGTAAGTCCAAGTTTTATTCATATAATTTGTGAATATTTTATCTCAGCCACTACTTACACAATGAATCGGTCGAAAGTTTGTCCACAAAGACATCAATAGTGAGAGCGCATTATTTTCATTAATTTTGTCAACAATAAAGATTGTGAAGGCCTTAATCACTGAATTTTAATCGAATCAGTGCTCCTATTTTGTTTAATATGAGTTTTGAGTTTGCTCTTTCTTTCACAATGCAACAATCGATAATGTTCTATCGACGATACGTATTGCGCATGACTCATTCCAAATATGCTGCCCTTTCAGTCTCGAGTCATAAACCAACTGCATTCTACTAACAAGCGCAGCTTCCTCGATTTCCGAGATCACCGTCTTGGGATAGCTGAAACTAAGCAATTTGTGACTAGAAGAAAAGAAAGAGAAATATTAGACTCGGTCATCACAAAATTAAACGGGTGGTGTATCACACTTCATTCTTTACCTGATTTCACTGTTTTGCTTTTCAAGGTATACGCTACATACTCTCAAATCGACATTTCCCAAACAATTTCCTCCATCATCCTCCACATCATCCTGAAAATATATGACGGGGTATTCTAACAACCACCCCGATATAGATATCATGCATTTTGGCATTGATGGGATAACCAAGATTGACGAATCTCTTAAAGACAAGAAAGGTTCGAGATCATCAGAGATAAAAGAAAAGAGTTCTGGTGGGAATGTGCCGAGCTGGGATAGTTTGGGAAAAAAGACATTGAAATTTGTAAACGTAATGCGTAGAACGCGAATACGTATATAGCCCGAAATTTTTTAATTACCTGTGGATCTTTCATGGCCTTGTTAACATTAACAAAAGCAAGACTCTCCGTTGCTCGAAGTCTTTGTCCGAGTAAAGCGTAGTTACATATGAACGTGTGTGAATCAGCAAACTGAACAACACATAAACAATGCCCCGATATATTCCTGACGGTATCGAGCATTATTAATAAAGGCGATAAATGATACAAGTTTACGAGAACTATTAAAGCGATAAATGATACAAGTTTACGAGAACGATTAAAGCGATAAATTACTTTACATCCTTTAGTTTAGAATTGAGATCGCGTGCATCCTCACAAGTCAAGAAGACTATATCGACAAGCGTAGACGTTCTTTGTATCTTGGGTTAACCTTGCTTTGCGCACAAGCAGATGAAGAAGCACCTACAAGCTCGCCAACATACCGGATTCCGGTTGCAACAGCTAAAATATCTTGAGGAACATACTGTTAATGATCCATTTGATGCATTGGAGATATCCGATAACAAGCCTATACTACCATTCGCCAAGCCTTTTGCCTTTTCGTTATTCCGGATACCTTTGCCTCTGAGGAACACTGAAATAGTACGCCATATATAATTTTCAAGTGTATCGGACATTATAGTTGATAGCTTTTACAAGTTAAAAAGCAGCTCGATTATGATATTAATTCGATCACGTGGACCAATATCTTTTAATTATTTACATTGTTTAATGCAAATCCTATGCGCGATTAAGTATTACCACTTGCCCAACCCAACAACTCGTAGAATATTAAAAAATAAGGACTACACGACTATCAAAATATTTTGAGTGCTTATTTACACTAGAATGTCTGATAAACCATATTATCGTTTTCATCTATTTCAAAACTCTTCTCCACTTGACAAATCCCCGCTTGAAACACTCATGCTTCCTTCACATTCCGATAGCTCCGGAACCTCTGTATCACACAGTACTTCAATCTCGCAATCACTGGCATCATTTCCTTGTCCTGTTGTTTGACGTTGACATTCAACTATGCTCGCGCGCTCGGTGAACGGAAATATGGGATTTGTATTCGTATCGTTAGGACTGATCAACGCCTCGCCTAGGAATCCTGACACTCCGCCCCAGTATCCAACAGTGCTAATACCACATTCACTGGAGGTTATTGCTCGATCAAGTTCAATCGTATCCGATACCGTGATCTGTTTAAGAGGATCGATTGGAAGCCATAGCTTACGATTCAGTGCCTTCACGAGATTGGGATGAAGATATGTTTGGTACTGTGAACAATCATCATTTATGCACTGACGACTTGGATCGTGAGCAGTAAGTAGACGATTTCTACTAATATATGAATTGCTTCTGCGAGGCATTCGTCTTCTTTCTATGTTTGTAGTTTCAACGAACAAGACATTTTTCTCGGATGTAGATGAAGAAATTGCTTGAGATGGTTCTTCCGGTTTACACGATGCTGTGAGTTCGGGAGCTTTCCGTGAATCCGATCCAGTCTTATCATATTGAGAAGTCGACGGTATTATTGCCGATGGATCCTTTTTCTCACTTCTATCGCCATTGCCTTGATAGTCCAGTTGGCTGCTGCTACTCGCGCGATTTCCACTTTGACTTTGTGAGTTATCCTCATTAAAATCAAGTATAGTGTCTAGTGCCAAATAATGCGTCCTTGAATAGAACGTTTTATGGCAATAGTATTTGAAATAGAATGTTCCCACAATCGAAGGTACCAAGAAAGCACCGGGGGCGATAGCACCACGTAGCCATATTAAGCCTAGTACAGTCAATTGATATATGATTAAACCGTCAGTTGTATACCGGAATACGAGTCGATAGAATTTGCCGGCTGCCTCATATCGTTTGACATAGCAATATGCGAATTGATGCTTGAATATTACATAGGCTATGCTATAATATACGAGGGAAAAGCAGAGGATTAATGGATTGATAGTTGAGTATGTGATGGTAATTACTAGTACGAGTATGTGCATAGGGTAATAATAATAGAATTGGAAGTTCCATGGGGATGTCACGCGTTGTAACATTCGCGGTGTCGATGCAACAAAGCGAGTGGTGAGTATAATGTGAAGAAATATCTGAGAGCCGACTTGGAGCAGTTCTAATCCGTGGGTACATGTATTAAAAATAACATAGTTTATAAAAAATGTTGCTCCCTAAAAAGAAAAAAAAAGTGTCAGTGTCAGAAATTGCATAACGCTATATATGAAAACCATAGAATTCATAAGCTTTTTCACCTGCGGTAAACTTTTTGCCAAGATTTGAATGATGCTTGTTGGTGTGTTTATAATATCGAATATTGACTCTAAGAAGGTAATACCCAATAAGAACACGAGAAAGACGTTGAAGAATGAAAAGTAGTAGTATCTCTTCAACACAGTCTCTTCCAGTTTAGAATAGCTAGTAAGCGCTTCTCTCTTTGATATCTCCATTAATATCCACGGCAATATACCCATGAATATAGAGACAAGTACAGTAGGTAACACGTTCTGCAAAAGTGTCCTAATTAACGGAGAAGCCTCGAGGAAAGGTCCAAGTATAGAAATGCGTTTTGATAATGAATCTATAGACGTGAGAGTTAAGATGGCGAAAATTGGAAATAGCCAGAATATAGTCAACGCCCTAAAAATAGAATGCGGTTAATGGATATTGAAAATCTCAACAACCGGGAGTAATATGTTTAGATCATATGTGGAAATATAACTATTCAGATATTTACCAAACAAAAAGGTTGACCACAAAGTATCTTAACATTTGATTGTTGAATCTTTTCGTCAGATTATCCCATAAAATGTCTCTGGGCTCCGGCGCCATCTTTGTAGTAAGCGTATGTGGACGTGAACACGCAATACTCTGAGCAGCCATAGCGGCAGTAGTGTGTAATTTAAAAGTAACAAACCCCGTAGAGGTAGGCCTGTAAGGGGCTTCTGTAATGTTTCTCGCTCTTAATTCGGCAATACGCCTGTCGAGATGATTAAACTCTTTCAAATAATGATCAATCGACCGTACTCGTTTATCAGTAGTAAGATAACCGGGCCAATGAGCAGGTTGGTACTTGTCTAGCACAGTCTTTGGGGTTTGAATAAGGATTTCCCAGACGGTACCACGACAATCCTCATGCCCCAAAACCTGCACAGTAGGGGACTGACGTGAAATCGAATTTTCGGTAGAAGCGTCGTTACCAGACTTCTTACGATATCTCATCCAATTAGCCACCGACTGCAGTAACTGACGATCTAGCACATCATGACCCTCAATATCGGTAGGTATCCTTTCTCTTTTCGATTTACGGAATGAAAACGATTGAAAAAGATTTCCGAAACCCAACAATCCTCCCATGTCAGTGGCAGCAATGACATTCTTTGCTAATAGTATATGTGATTTTTCTAGCGCAAGCAAGGCATCTTCTCTCCTGGCAATTTTTCTATTCAGTTTTCCGGTATGTCTTACAATTCTTGCCGATTCTACTGGTGCTAGTCCAAGTGATTCAAAATATCCTTTCAGCTTATCTTCCGATCGCATATCTTCGGGTATTCTAGACACCATCACTGTTCGTACACTCACTGATCCCGATGTTACCTTGTTCTTGTAATGCTCCTTGCGCATTCTCACAAAATCAAAGTAATTCTGATACAGTAAATACATCCAGCTTACGCTGATAATGTATGTGCAGATTGCGTGTGCCCATAAATAATTTCCGTTCACCCCAGCGACGTTGTTGATTGATAGCACTTCGACACCTTGCATATCAGCTCCACCGTAGTAATTTAATGGTAATAGGATTGCCCCTACTACCACTACATTGAAAGCTAAGAATATGACTGCCATCCTAAGAAATCGAATATACATTACTGCGTCTAAGCCGACATGCGTTAGAAAGAATTTTTCTGGTAAAAACAATGTTGCTGGAATCCAAGAGAAGAGACCTTCCGGGATTGGAGGTGACGGATTCCTAAGTTGAGATAAACAGATTAATTATTATAGAAACTCAAATAAGTGAATCTCATTTATGTTTGTTCTCAGAGTCAATATTTTGTCGATTTATGAACTAATTGGTGACAAACAATAATGTTATGGCGTTTTCTTATTAACTTTAACGAGAATCGTTATTATCTTATTGTCTAGTCTTTGGGATTTCAAAGAGATTGTCGAAGCATCTCTAGGGAGACTACATATACTTACTTTGCCAATCGAACTCGTGGCGTGTACAAGTATTGCATAGATTTCTTTCTTCGGTTCCATTCAAATTGTAATAAACAATAAAATGATATAGACGCGGCGATACCAAGTTGTGTACCCAAGCCTAAGAATGTCGGGTTATAGTTGCGAGCTGTATCCAAAGTCGCCATAGCTGTGTATAGTAATAGATCTTTATTTTAAATAATATTGTTCGTGATTTCAAATACTCTATTGCTGTTCATGTGAATGTAGATGGTACTTTGTTGTGACGACTACTGAGTGACCGCTTCGCCAGCGACGATCAGGTCAGAAACACTATTAATTAAATAAAAGTGAAAGTTACAACTAAAACTGGGAACAATCATTAATATATAGCATTTGTGAATGAGGGTGTTCAGCCCATTAATAGTCACAATGTTTCACTGAAGCCTATTGGATCGAAACTCGGCAAACGACGTTCAGCCATTTGACATTTGAACTTTTTTATAGTAAACAGTGATCGATGTTGCACG